TGCATAAGGTAAAATATGCACGACAAGAATGGCTTTCAACTGGGCCAGTGAGATGGTCAGCCGGTAAACATGCTCAGCACACAAGTCTGATGAACTGAGTTCGATCCCCAGAACCCACTTACAGGTTGAAGAAAGGAACTGATGCCACAAAATTGACCTCTCACTTCCATGCCATTGCTATAGCACATACAGGCACCACCATACCATACACAGTAATGAATAACTTTTCAATGTTTCCTTATTCAGTATACTGAGTATAGCTCTCAGATGTGATCAGAGAAGTTTCCTTTGTGCAGTGGACTGTGGTTAACACAGAATCTCACAACTGATCAAAGAGCCAAGAAAAATATCCATGGAGTGCTCAGCCACAAATGAGACAAGGATGTCACCACCTTCTCCCAAGGATCAGAGAACATCTTGGAAGTGAAACTGTGTCTTATGCACACCATGAGACCACTGCATTCATGTACTCACTGTTGTGGCTGCCTGCACAAGCCCTACACAAGAGAAAGTCAATCACAACAGTTCCAGCCTAGAAGGCTGAGTAGCTATTGATATGTAGTGCCTTCTGAGGAAGGGAGGACTTGTCTTCTTTAGGGGAGTTCTTGTAGGTTAACTACACTCCAGTGAATGGCCCCATTCCCATGCATTTATGTGTAGTACAAGGTGGATTAAGTGGGGTACTTAGAAGAAAGAAAGATAAATATATAGAAAGATAAGTACAGACAGACAGACAATAAAGAGAGAGAAAAAGAAGGAAGGAAGGAAGGAAGGAAGGAAGGAAGGACAGAAGAAAGGAAGAAAGGAAGGAAGAAAAAGAAGGCTCAACAGTTCAGAGCACTTGGGTTAACTTCACCCACATGGTGGCTCACAATAGCAACTCCATTCCTAGCAGATCTGAAACTGTCCTTTAGCCTCCATAGACAGGTATGCAGACAAACATGTAAGCATTCACATGTATATATAAAATATAAACCATTTAAAAGTTTGTTTCTTTTTTCAAATAAAGAGAACAAAATCTTAGGAGTTGGCAGGACAAGAGTAGATCTAGATATGTAAAGGGAGGATTTGGTGAACATGATCAAAATACATTGTTGAAAATTCTGAAATAAACAATGCTACATTTTTTTAATCCAGATAAGTACTTTATTATAACATGGTCCACTCAATGAACTAAGCAGAGTTCACATGGGACTGAAATGGCAAGCCTGCATGGGTCTATACCAGATTCTCTTTGTATATGTTAAGGCCGTTATTTTGGTATTTTTGTGGTACTCATAACAGTGGATGTGTCTCTAACTCTTTTGCCTGTTCTTGAGACTCTTTTGCTCCTATTGGGTTACCTTGTTCACCACTGATTGAAGGGCCTTCACCTTGTATTATTCTATCTTATTTTGTTCTGTTTGATTGTCATATCTTAGAGGCCCACTGTTTTCTGAAGAGGAAAAATAGAAGGAGTTTATCTGAGGAAGAGAGTAAACAGAGGGAGCCAGGAGGAGTGGAGGGGTGGGGAGTCCTGGTTGGGATGTATTATAAAAGAGAAGAATCTATTTTCCATTAAAAGAAATAATCAAAGTAACATTTACATTTTTAAAAAACTTTGGCTCAGAGCTCTGAAGAGTTGTTACAGTTGGTGAAGTGACTCCCTTACAAGCATAAAGACTATCTCCGACAGGTCTATCTCCGACACCATGTGTAAAGCCAAGCATTGTGGTTTGTGCCTGTGATGTAGACTGAAGGACACAGAGACAAGTAAGTCTCTGAAACTCATTCCTGGGCCACCCAGCTTAGCCACATCAAGGAGTTTCAGTTTCCCTGAAAGAAGCTTTCTCAAAAAGTAAAGGTGGAGAGTGACTGAGGAAAGGCAGCCAGTTTTGGCCTCTTTCCACACGCGTGTTCACACAGGTGTATTATTACTCTCTTGCACACCTGCACAACACTAGCAGACACATACCACTACGCACAGACACTTTAAAAAGACAAAAATACAGTTGCCTCCCACAATGATACATTGCTGTCATGTCTAACAGACTATTATGCTAAATCAATTTAGTACATTGTGGTAAAGTTTCTCCCCTGCTCCTTTTTACTTCTTGCTTTATTTCTCTTCTTCCCTTTCATCTTTTTTTTCCCACCCAAAACAGACTTTAAACTTAAAATATCACTAAATTAAGTTAGGGCTAGCTTATACTTAAACTGGGTAATATCTAAAATCCACTTTTGCCCCAATATTTATAGAATTCTTTTGACTTTAAAAATTGTGCATTATTTTATTTTGTAACTAAATTGCACCTGTCGGAACCCAAATCTATCTACTACCTGGAAATTTAATAAGAGCTGCACCATTGAGCTGTTCAGAATTGTGTAAGCCAACATAGAAAATAGATTTCCAGCAGAGATTGAGAGCTTTTCAGACAGATGTGAGGATGAATCCCCAAAGATGTTCATCTTGGACTGCTTCGTTTCTGTAATTTCTGTCATGACTCAGAAAGAGCTTTTTATGCCCATTCTTTCCCATAATTAGTTGAGTTTTCCTTCTCCGCCATTTCAATTCAAAAGCAGACACAGTAAAACAGGCTAATTCCAACTAATCCACATAGAATCACACAAAACATCAATATGCTGACATAGTACATACATGTATACTTTATTTTAACATGTGTTCACCACGGCAGCATAAAACATGACTTGTCTTCTCAAACTCAATTTCTCTTGCAGACTACAGATAACCCTATCCAAATCTCTATTTACTTGGTAGAGATGTTGACTTCCTCGAAGTTTTCATATATTTAAAGGAAGAACTCCATGGATATGGGGAATATAAGCAAAAAAGCAAAATTATCTCCTTTTTTATTATATGTGAATCAGTGACCTTTCCTAAAACCTGAAGCAATTTTATCCCAATGGAGAACAATGCAAACAGGTCCCACAACACTGGTGCAATTTTCTTGGCAAAATAATTGAAAATTTATGTGTACGGGCTCTCAAATCCTTGACTTTCTGGACTTTGAAGGCAGTCATTTGTGGCTATTTTGCACAGTGTGTTCACTGCTTTTTAAGCTTTTTTCCATTTTGGCTATCAGTGAAAGGATGAAGACTCATGTGAAAGCAGAAGTGGGAAAGACAGCAGGCTACAGATGCAGATGTGGCACCACACAGCAGTCAAGCTTGGAAACAAAAGCCATGAGGTAGTCCAAGTAGGAGCATAACTGAGCAGTATGACAGCCAATGTTCATAATGCACTTGACTCTGGATTATCATACAGTTACATAGCATTCCTCTAAAGAAGCCTTCTCCCATGCAAAGAACTATGAACTTGGTCAGTAAGACTCGAGGAAGGAAACAGGCTTCTTGACGGTGTTCTTCATCTCAAACACCTCTGCAAATGCCAACAGTGCGAGTGATTCAAAGCCATGATGGTTTGGACTACATCTACATGACAATAGGACAATGGAAATGAAGCTCTGGAGGCAGTGAAAGACAATGGAGGCTGAGAAGTTGATGGACAGCAGCTCTGCTAGGGAAAATATTTGCTCAGGTGAGAGTGATGGAATTGGAGATCCACAAGGATACACTGAGCATCCATGTCAATCCTAAGATTTGAAAAGTCACAAATGGAAGCACATGAGGCAAGCTGAACAGAAAGCACTTGGTTTCACAGGTGCTATGAACAAATGGGTACGAAAGCAGAGTGGTATGGAAAACTGTACCATCAAGGCTAAAGATCAGAAAGGAAGCAAGGGAGATGCAATGTTCTGATCACTTCTTTGGCAAGAGAGAATTGATCACCACCAGATAGACAGAAGGACACACTGCAAGACAGATAGTTCTTGGTTGTGGAAGAATGTGGAAGCAGGACCATTTTGGAAATGCAAAGAGGTGACTGTGCTTTGGGAAGAGGCACAAAATAGCCAACTGACTGAGCTCTAAGGTACGAGTGCATGGAACGGACTTTCCAGATGGGATCTCCATGCCAGCCAGACCAGCTCTTTCCCCAGCTATGTTTTCAGCAAGGCAAGCCACACAGGAACAGAAACACTTGCCTTGAAGATGGTGGATGCTTATCCACAGAGATTGACCAAACTGTAGTGTTGACTCTCCAAGACAACAGAAATGATTTCAGAAGGGACTGACTATTTGCTCACATTCATCATGCTGATAGGGTTTTTGTTCCTGCTCAATCCGCAGGTACAGTGGCTGCATCATGGGTAGCTGGGAAAAGAACTAAAGGTGGCATGGCCACACTTTGGAACGTGGAAATCATTATAAGTGACACCCTGTGTTGAGAGAAGGGGGATGAGGGAGGAGAAGAAGCCAAGGTGAAGAACCTCAACACAAACATTTGGAAATCTTGCCAAGAAACCTTGATTCTTCTAAAAGTTCCTTGAACTTTTTTGTTCCAGTTCTTTGATGGAAATGATTTAGAAAATAATATTCTTTGAAAAGGGAAATATTAGGGTGATCTACCAAAGAATATATAACAGTGTCTGATAACTATGTAGGGTTTTGGCAACAGCACATCAATATTTATTAAAATGAAACAATTGACTGTCAAGGGTTACTGATAACCTAGTATGCATTGGAACCTGAAAAATATCTCATTTGTCTCTAACATGTGAACATAGTCCACATTTAGAGAGGCTGGCTCCTGAGCAGAGAATGAAAATTACCAGCACTAACAAAAGGGAAGCTGACTCACAATGAGTAAATATTCAAAAGCCCCCCAATAATTAGAATAGTCACAGCTTGGCAATGAGTTTCCAGACTATGAAATTAGTTTTCTTGTGAAGAATGGAGATTTTACAAGGCTAGTATAAACATGGGGTAATTGGAAAATCAAATTGCTCTTTGTGAGCTATTGTAAGGTCTGGAATAATGGTGATAACAATTTTTTAAGCTGTGAATCACTGTCATTTGGTGTTTTTTAGCAGTACTGTTGCCAAGAACGCTCGCCTTGGAAGTACGGCAGTGGGAACTTGACATTGTGAATCCCAGCTTACCCCTGACACAATGAGCTCTCCTCCCAGATTCTGAACCTCTGCCTTCACTTTGCTGCAGATGTTAAGCTGATGGCAATACAAGGCAATCCGTTGAAGGTAGGCTAATAAATCCTGCTTACATGCTGAATCAGGACACTATAAAAAAATAAATAAAAAAGTGGTATCAATTAGTAAGTGCTCTTCAGTTTCTAACACTTACCGTTTAAAAGCCTTTGGTGTCACATACTTAATTACATTCATTTAACTCTGCTTTTTCGTGATGCACTGGAGAAATGCCACAGTCAACCGTTTCGAGTGGTTAGCTCCACTTTGATAAGATTTTACCCATGAACTCTCAGCTTCTATGGTTGCTTGCATAAGAACTGTACAATGACACATGAGTTAACATTCCAGCGCGAGTTAAGGGTGGGCTCACAAATTCCTTTCTACCCTTAGCTGAAGAGCTACAGAAAGGCCAGGGCTGTGGAAAGAAAGGGAGTCAGATTTCTTGAATGACAAGTCCCTGGTAGCTACCCATGCTGTAAATGTCAGTCTATACCCATGTGCACATGGGCAACACTAAATATGTGATTTGGTATATATGAACACACATGTAATAACAATAAACTATGAGAACTAACTAAATGAAGAGGATGCGAATTTGACAAGATGAGTTCGGAGAGACACACACAAAAAATGATACAAAAGGTTAGGAAAAAGGGGGTATATCATCAAATGGCATTAGACTCATGTATGCAAAAAATTATATATACCAAATTACTCTTTTAAAATGAAAAAAAAAACAGAGGGCTTATTAAGAATGATTTACGAAGTCTTATTAGGATACCTGTATTACTTGAGGTTATGTTTTAACTAAGAGGAAACTACTATTTTATAGCTTTTTGGTTTGTTTGTATCTAGTTTTCTTCTACTTTTTCAGCATGAAGACACAGAGATGAAAAACTAATGAATACCTGAAATGCAATACTTGTGACAGTGTGTTCCAAAGCATGGGGTTAGCTGTGGAGGGGGAGATTTCAATTCAAGTAGTTAAACAGAGGACCTTTTTTTTTTTCTTTTCATTTTCTAGGGTGTGCCCCAATTTACTAGGTCTATGCATTTTATGGATTTTCCCTATTTACCAAAAAATCTTAGCATCATACTAAACTTCCATAACAAGAGAACTCTCAAATGGACTCTGGTCCCTATAACAGGAGGATCTAATAGGCTATATTTAAAACGAGCTAAAATATCCCTTAAGTATAGCAACAGAGTCCTTCAACTAAAGACAGTTCCCTTGGAAGATTAACTTGCAGTGTAATGTAAGTAGATAGATACCCATCAAGTGCACACACAGCTGAGATATCCATTTCTGTAAATATTTCCAATATCTTTCTAAAATGTTTTTTGGCCTTCTATGTCAATGGCTACTTAGTAAATAAATTATTATTATTTTTTTTGGCTATTAAATGTTTAGTTTGAGATAATTCCAGGTCATTGTTCTGGTTAAATTTTGTATTTGTAAATTTATATACCTACATATAAATATACAAATATATTTAGTATTTGTATTTCACATTAATTATATATATATATAATATTGGATATATGTGTGTATGCATGCATGCATAAATGCATAATATTAGAACCAAGAGCTGAACTTGAAGCAATTCAATGGTAGAGCATTCAGCTATTCTGTTTACTACAAAAATCATTGTAAATAGCACTCAAATGCTCTACCTCCTAATCTAGAAATAAGTTTAGAATCCTCTCTCTCTCTCTCTCTCTCTCTCTCTCTCTCTCTCTCTCTCTCTCTCTCATGTGTGTGTGTGTGTGTATGTGTGTGTGTGTGTGTGTGTGTGTGTGCATGCACAAGGTTCAATCTTGTCAAAAACCAACACATTATAAGAGTATGGGAGAAAGACGGATCTGAGTTTTCTATAAGCAACAGGAAGGGAATTCTTTCAACAACACCATGGAACCATTTATATGATGTAACCACTTATTTAGTAAAAAAATAAATAAAAGCATTTCTTTTATACATAACACCTACTGTTGTGATATTTTTCACTAAATGTATTTATCAAGAAAGCATCCCACTGAGACTGTTTTTAGTTTTCTACAAGTACTTAATACTGTAATATTTATCCTACTCCTGAGACCCATATACTGGAATGAATTAACTTTAAAATGATATCTCCCCGGAGGGCTGACAATGGTTTCAATACAAATACCTTGCAGCAAATTAAACCTAGAGTTCTATCTCAGTGGAACAGTAATTAAAAATGCAGTGGTCCATAAAGCATTTATATTGCATGCATATCTCAAATCTTCATAAAAATATTTCCAGGCAAAGTGAAAGCAACCAATCCGGTCCTTGGTAATATTCTGTTCATTATTTAAACTTAGCTAGTAAGAACATAGCTGGTTTGTTTTATGACCTTTTTAAAGGTAATGACAGAACAATAGAAATTCAGAATACCCTCTATACCAGAAAAAGCAATCTAGGATTTGAAAAAGAAACACACTGTGTAGATAAAACTTTAATAAAATTCCAGATATTTCATAGATAATGACTATAAACATACACAAAAGACATGGGTTTATTCTTCATTTACTATAAAAATCAGTGTTAATAGCACTCAAATGTTCTATCTCCTGATCTAAAAATAAATCCTCTCTCTTTCTCTTGCTGTCTGTCTCTCTGTGTCTCTGCCCCCTCTCTTATGTGTGTGGGATATGCATGCAAGCATGTGTATGTAAAAGTGTGTGTGTAGTCATATCGTGTTTACTAGCTATCAAAACTGTTTTGGAAAAATGACTCAAAATTACATTGCCAATTAAGATCCTAAACAGTAAAAATAAAATAGAAATTAAAACTGGGACCATGGAACTTAACCCACCTAAATGTACTGAGAAATATTTTCTTTTTTTATTTTTTATTACTTTATTAATACTAGGAATCAAAATTTCCACTTCCTCCTCTCTACCTGCTTCCCTCCTGCTCCCCCACTTACCCTCCTACCCTGCCCCTCCAGTCCTAAGAGAGGGCAGGATACCCTGGCCTGTGGGAAGTCCAAGGCCCTCCCCTCTCCATCCAGGCCTAGGAAGGTGTGCATCCAAATAGACTAGGATCCCAAAAAGCCAGTACATGCCATAGAGACAAATCCCAATACAATTATCATTGTCTTCTCAGTTGGTCACAATTGTCCTCCACCTTCAGAGGGTTCAGTTTCGGGGTGGGGGTGGGGTGGGAAAAGGGGAGAGGGAGACAGCGAAGAAAAAAGGGGAGGGTTGGGGAGAGCTTGGGGGAGTGGGATGGTTGAAATCGAGGAAGAACAGATATGGGAGCAGGAAAGAAGATATCTTAATTAAAGAAGGCACTATGGGGTTGGCAAGAGGCTTGACTCTAGAGGAGGCCCCAGATGTCCACAGGGATGTCCTCACCTAGGACCCTGGGTAGTGGAGGAGAGGGTACCTGAACAAGCCTTGTCCCGTAGTCAGACTGATGGCTATCTTGAATATCACCATAGAACCTTCATCCAGCGACAGATATATATAGAGACAAAGTCCCATATTGGAGTACTGGACTGAGTCCCATGGTCCAGTTGAAGAGCAGAAAGAGGGAGAATATGACCAAGGAAATCAGGACCACAAGGGGATGATCCATCCACTGAGACAATGTGCCTGAACTAATGGGAGCTCACCAAAGCCAGCTGGAATGGGACTGAATGAGTATGAGAAATACTTTCAAACATGGATACTGAGCATGTAATGAAAAAGCCATTCAAATTCCATTCAATTTTAATACCAGAAAAAAATAAAATCCTGTATGAGAAGAGAACTTTTAGAGTCACTCAAACATTTCTTGTGGCTCCACACATCCCAATGCCCGCCAACATTCTCAGATTAAGCCCAGGTAGGTCTTCTGCTTTCTTTTTCTCTTGTATGAGCTCTCTAAAATATTTATGAAAGTTTCAAAAAAAAAAAAAAAAAAAAAAACAGTTCAACCTAATACACTGAAGCCTGACAGTTGATGTAATGCTGACATCAGTAACAGCAAAGGTTTGGTTTTCAATTGCTACAAATGATAGCAATGTTTATTTGGGTAACAAGGAAAATAATCTGAAATTATGATAATAATGAAATTTCCAAACCAGTAAGTTTCTCAGAAACATCCCATTAAGTTACCCATTATGTACAAATACAATTAAAATGGGAAATTTTTAGTTTTTACTGTATGTTCTATATTAGTTGTTGAATCTTCTGGTTGGAGTGGTAAAACTTCACAAGGTCAGTGTATTTATTAGGTATTTTGATGTTCAACCTGGGATGTTGGAAAGAAAGTAAATAGAAGAACAACCTGATGTTAAAAAATAAGAGACCTTTTTTTTTTTTTTTTTAACTGGGGAGCTGCAACTGAAAAATCAGGAGACTTGGAATATCTACAGAGAAGCCAGCCTTCTGTTTTTCAAGGTCTTCAAAAGGTACTACCTCCTGAAACACATTCATATTCATTATGGAGTTTCTATGTATTGAGAGTACACATCATTTTTATTTCAGAAACTCATTTTGTATTTTAGAGTATATTCGCTTTGAAGTAGTTCAGACTGTTGACTCTTCTTAATTGCAGTTTGAAGAGATAATCAGTTATCTGGCAATGTCCACTGTCTAATGTACCCTTACAAGGAATGTTCTAGCAGCAAGACAAAGAGATGGGCTCTGAAATTCTAGTTTAAACTAGTCTGAATGGAAATTGCTGAAATATAATCAAATAGTCTATGTGAAACAGAGAAGACTCCAACTAGGCATCCTGTGAACACACATGTGAAGCTTTGAGGATTTCATTTCTCTAAGAATTAGTCTATTTTATAGCAGAGCATAACTTATTCTGAATTACAGGGTATTATAGTAAGATCAGTGTTTACTAATGGGAGTCATGCTTTCTTACTATCACGTGGTTAACTCTTTTGTCAGCTAGCCACAAGCTAAACTCATTTGAAAAGAGAGAACTTCCGCTGAGGAAACATCCCCATGAAATTGGCCTATAGGAAAACTTATCTAGCATTTTCTTTCTTTCTTTTCTTTTTGTTTTTTACTTTATTGGTCTTTTTTTGTTTTTGTTTTTGTTTTCAAAACAGGGTTTCTCTGTAGCTTTGGAGCCTATCCTGGAACTCTCTCTGTAGACTAGACTGGTCTTGAATTTACAGAGATCTGCCTGCTCTGCCACCAGAGTGCTGGAATTAAAGACATGCACCACCACTTCCAGGCATGTCTGGCATGGGAGGGTCCAGACCACTGGGCAGTGCCATCTCTGAGCATATGATCCTGGGATTTCTGCCTTATCTTGTTTTGCTCCCTTTTTGTGATATATAATTGGTTTTCTGAGTGGGGAAGGCTTGTTTAACATACCACTCTTATGCATTTGATGCATCTACTGAGTTAAAGATACTTTGCCATGAGCTCAGCCTCAGCAGAGAGCCAATTTACAAAATATTAGGAACTATCTCCAAATGCATATTTCATCGGGAGCATAAAACTGGTCCCAGAACGCTGGTACTAATTAATTCCCACTCTTTCTTTTGTATTACCTGATCAGCCACAGCGCGGGCTAATTTGTCCATTCGAGAGCCTGCTTCTGCAATCTTCTTGGCAGCATTAATGACATCAGATGTATTTTTCAATGGGCCTTTGCCTCTGAAAAATATATAACATAATTAGAATTCAACTCAATAACTGGCAACACACAAACCACCTACATTCTTAGTCCAAGATGCTAGTTCTGTATTTAATGAGGTCTGGCCCTGTTACTGAAAATTTCAGTGTTTCTTTGACTCACCCCAACCTCCAGGTTGATAGTCTACCATGTTTCCTTCTGTGTATGGGGGGTCTCCTAATTTCATATACACATTTATATTTATCTTTCTACTATCTTTCAATATTCCTCCATTAAGATGATCATCACAGGAGGAGGGGACTTCAGTATTTAATGGTTTTCACATGCCAGAAGCTATCATACACCACACCACGCTGTGTGTATATGCAGCAATTGGTCACATCGCATTCACAGCCAGGAAACAGGAAATGATAGTTGCATGCTGGGGCTCAGCACACTTTCTGCATTTACCAGAATCCTATGCCCAGGGAATGGGCCCTCATGGGATTAAGGTGGTTCTTCCCATATCAATGAACAAAATGAAGATAACCCCCCACAGACATCTCCAGAAGCAATCCTTAACCTACACAGCCCTTTATTTCCAATGGGAATCCAGATTTTGCCAAGTTATCAGGTAGCAGCAAGCATCACACTAATCCACACAAGTGGTAAGAAATGAATTCTAAAACAGAAACAGTCTAAACCAACTAAGTACAGATGCATAGTCATCCATACAGTGCCCAGCACCTTCATTTTATTTAGCTCAAGTCAGTATGGCACCTTGTGAAGCACTTCCCTCTTAATCATAATTTAGAAATATTTGACCAGAATTTCAGGAATTGCAAAGTTCCCAATATCATGTATTTTGTGTTTCTGGTAACTGATATGTGAACAATTACACTAAACATTATGATTGCAAATGTTCCTAATGCTTGCAGCATCCCAACATGTTCATATATAGTTTTCAATTAGGTAGGTAATTAAATAGTATATTACTCAATCAACTTCCCTGTCTAATTTTAAATGCTGATTTAAAAGGAGGGAAAATGTTATTGTACCATGAACCTTTAAGTAAATATAGCATATAAATTACCGCTTTCTTGGAAGATAAATAAAGAATAGATTGAACATGCTTATACTTAGTTTTTAGCAGATTAAATTTCCTTAGTTTTTAGAAGATTAGATTTTCTATTATCCTTTATTACTCATAGCTAAAATTCAGTGCATTTTGAAAGCACCAAAATTGCCTTCCTGTGTTATAAATGTGGTGAGACCCAGAGAAAAGCCGCTCAGAAGCAACTTATTTAGACAACATATAGTTCTAAGAAGAGGGCAATGACCACGATTGTTATGTAGTATTACAAAATGTGAGACTTAAAATAGTTTCCATCAGATAAATGTTAATGAAGTGTGTGTTGCATTGCTTCACCCCAGTTCTCATTTGGGAATTTGTTTTTCTATATTAATATCTGGAAATAAAAGAGAAGTTCCTATTACTATTAAGGCACACATGCCAGAGAAACCTAGCCAACCTGAGTCTTCCAGAGAATACATTCACTTCTCACTAGCCATTGAGATTTTTTCAAGTGCAAGCAAGATGGGATTCCACATGGGCATTTTGTATAATGTGGATGAGGTAAAGTTTCTGTGACAGTCTGGCTCTTGTTCCAACAGTGTTGTTAATTATCATCTCTAAGTAGCTTCTTTCCTTTTGTTGTATTTCTTCCATGATTATTTAAAGGACAACTTAAACAAACAAAAAATGTCATCACTTACAAACGTTAACATGTTTTGTATTTCTCTGTAACTTTCAGACTGTAGAAAATCTCTTCTAAGCTTTATTCTGACATGATACCTGTTAGCCTTTGCCTTTATCTAAACAGCACCATTAAAAGCTTAGTGGTTGCTTTATTTTTCATTGCCAAAAATAAATGTGTGTTTGTTTACTTCAAGTATTTTGAAGTGGAGTATGCCTTAACTCCAGTTCCAAGGGATCTTATGCTCTCTTCTGGCCTCTGTGGACACTTGCATGTGTTTGTGATGCATATAAAGTCACACAACTATACATATTATAAACACAAATACATATACATACATACACACATACATATTTATATACTTATATAATTCCAAAGGATCTCAAAATATGTCTTTTAATAAACCTTAAAAGATAAATTTTAAAAACTTATGAGAATGTTCCAAGTTAGTAAGGAATAGCTTTAGAGACATTGCATTTACTTGAGGCCCAGATGCTCATCTGTGGCCACAGTGAAAACCCAGTATGATTAGTTTTTATTCCACAAGTGACTCTAGTTCACGCACTCATTGGCACCACAACGATAAACAGAAGTTTACAACTCCAGTGTCCAGACTAGAAGTTCAATTTGAACTCTTATAGTTAGAAGCTGTGTTAAAGGATCAGAAAGGGTCATAAAAGTAAACAAATATTTCATGGTAACACACACACACACACACTCATTTTTGAGTGGAGCATTGACAATCATGGAGAAAGACTAAGGGACACTCCCAAATGATATCTGTTCTCAGAAAGAAATGGGCTAGAAACCCATGAATACACAAAAATGCAATCACGTTTATTGGCATTAAGAATAAATGATCATGAAATAGAATTGAGGAAGCAACTCGGGATTGGCATAGCTTATATGTTAGTGTCTGCCCTGTATAAATAAGGCTCTGGGTCCAATCCTCTGACACAAAAGAAATTTTTTACAAATTCCACTAAATAGACACCAAGAATAATAAATAAAGAGTAAACATAATTAAGGAGGCCTCAAATATATGTGTTCAGTGCTGTATAAAACATTGCTGGAAGAAACTCAGATGGCACATGGAAAGTCATCCCACAAACACAAATTAGGTGACTTAGAGATCTCCAGATTCACAGCAATCCATATTAAAATCTCAATAATATATTTTGCCCAAACAAATGAAATGTCCTAGATTTAGCAGGAATCTCAAGTAGCCAAAGCAATCTGACAGAGAAAAAAGAAGATTAAATCCTCATAGTTTCTGATTTTAAAACTTAACAAAAATGTACAGTAGACAAAAGAGCATAGTCCAGACTCAAAGGCAGAAAAATAGACAAAGGGAACAGAATCAAGTTCAGAAATGGGACCTCATACACATGGACAAGTGGTTTTCCACAGAGTGGTAAGACCACTTAATGAAGCAAAGAGTATTTTCAATAAATGTTGCTAGGGAAACTTTCCATCCATCAGCAAAACATTCAGCTACAAATTGATCAGCAATAAAACAACAAGGAAAGAAATGTGTGTGAGCACTCATGGCATTTGATTTGGCAGAGATTTCTTGAATATAATAATAAAAAAAGCAGAACCAACTGAAGAAAAATTAAACTTGACCTTACGTTTAAAACTTTATTATCAAAGTATATTTTCAATGAATATTGAAAACAAAACTTACAAAACAAGGGAAAAAAATCTGTGAATCTTATTGTCTAATAGGAAATAGATATTCAGAATATATTAAAACTGACAGCAACTAAAGTATTCAATTAAAAGGGGTAAGAGATAAAAAACAAACATACAATGTTACTGGTCACTAGAGAAATAAAAATGAAAACTACAAAGTTATTCCAATTATTTGCATTGAGAACTACAAAAACAAAAACAAAACAGAAAATACTTATATTTGATATAAAGAAGTTAGAACACTAGTCAGTTGCTGGTAAGAATGCAAAATAATACAGGAACCTCAAAAATTTGATTTGATGATTCCTCAATTTTTTTAAAATACCATAGAATCTCCCAATTCCTCTATACATGGGGAATAAAAGACATATTTTCTCTGTGTCCTGAACAGCACGTTTTCACAACACCCAAAGGAAGAAGGACTAAATGCCCATTGGCAGATGCGTGGAGAAACCAAATGCAGTGTATCCATCTCAGTGGGATATTATTCAACCTTTAAAAAAATACAATTTTGTGCTGTGACAACACGGATGAACTCTGAAAAGAATATTTGCTACAAAAGAAGTCAGATGCAAAAAGACAGATGTGAACTATGCCTCTCATGTGATACCTATAGTGACCAATGCCACAGAGATAGAAAGCTGATTTTTCTGGTGTTTTGCAGGAGCTGTGGGGAACAGGTGACAGGGAGTTAGCAGGCAACTAGATACAAGTTTAAGTGAGATGAAAATGTATAGACCAATGCCAGAAAAAGATACACACCAGTGTACTTAGTGTGTCATATTTATCTACTTAAACAATTATTATCATAGTAAACTTTATGTTGCATAAAACAATCAAAAACAATTTAAACACCCATATTCAGCTAGAAGCTACTTTATCAAACCATACAAAACTAAATGAGTTATAACCATCTGCATAGCACTGAATCAAGAAATAAATGACCAGAAAAGAAAAACTGAAAGCCACAAAAAACAAACATACAAGAAAACTGACCTAGGAAGTTGGTAAGGCTTCCAAGTTAGTATTATCATTGGAAGACAAATGCAATAGTGATGTTAGCCTCATGTTTATTGCAGCCTATCTCAAAATGAGGACACACATCCTGATGTTTCTGTATCTTAGAGTCAAGTCTACAGTGGGGATACTTGAAAGGGTGTTTTAAAGAACCCTGTGTCCCTAATGGCAGGAATCACTCTATTGTCTCACTTAGAACATGTTGTTAGTGTTCTTAGAAATGAAATCTATTACTTCTCTACTATGCAGAATCTTGCAATATCTTTCATTTAAGTACAGCTGATTTGTACATAAAGACCAATATTTGGAGTCTTTCCCAAGAAGTGGTCACTCCAAAAAGAGAGTCAAGCTGGGAAAACTATTACTTCAGTGCTGTGAGCTCCCATTTGCCAACTAATTTGCATTTATTTTACAAAAAGCCTGTGAGTCTTAATGGGCAATAGCAATGTGTCGGTACATTGTGAGCAAAGTATTCAGTACGCAGAATTCTAATTCAAAGTTAATTCAAATTTAAAGGGTTTATTTTCTATAGCCTTCTCAACACATCTAGTTTGCTAATGTCAAATGTAACTCTCTAGAAAGGAAATGCAATGAGGGTATTTGTAAATATGTGGGATCATAAAAAGCCTCTCTAGAACCACTGTTTCAAAAGAAAAATGCTCTAAGAAATTCTCCCAGGACCAGCAAGATGGTTTAATAGATAAAAGTGTCGGAACCCCAAGCAAGGTGACCTGAATTCAAACCCTGAAATATACAGTGGAAGGAGCAAACTGACACTCTAAGCATACCCTTTCATGTCCACCAACATAACATACATATTCCCCCCACATACACACACGCACACACATATGCACATACACAAGCTTGCCACAGCAAGTAAAGCACAGATAGGTATTGTAGAAAAACAACATACAGAATCTAGTAAATCCTAAGATGTCAGGAAGGATCTGAGAGTCATGAGTTCAACTCTTATAGGTGTATTATTTAGGTCATGCAATTGAAGTACAAACCAGAAACAGATGGACAAAAAGGCAGGCATTGAAGGGTACAGTGAAAAGAGGAAAAGTTTGGTGTAAGCAAGTTAGATAGTTGTCTTTGTTGACCAGTTGTAGTGTAAAAAGAGAAGGAGAAGGAATGATATTGAAATGCCAGCTCGAATCTCTGAGATGAGAGAGTGAGCTCCTTAATTAAAGCAGAACAAAGTTTAGAAGTATTGTATGAATTTTAGTCCATTGCTTGGTGTTTTATAATTGATTATGTACAGATTATTTCCACCTCATCCTCAGTTTACTACTCCCTTTACGTTAATGTTTACAAGAGAATTTTGATCCTTTTCATTCGGTTAAGGCTGCACTAAGGCTGTCTGCATGCCTCTTGGTTGGGCAACACCAGATTGGTACACAGCATTTTCTCAAAATGACACAAGAAGTATGAATTTGCTGTACAAGGGGTGGTACTTCAGCTTTTGCCCATTAGATTATAAAGAAAGAGTCAAGGAAAAAAAAAAGTAATGTGAAACCCAACAGGTCCTTTATACTCCATGAAGGAAATAGTTCATGAATAGCCAGGTACCCCGTCTTCCATTTGAATAACTGAGTGGACTCATGGAAATGTGGGAATCCAGTTAATGAATATGCAGTGACATGAATAATAGAGCACAATAGTAAATTAATGGTGACTGTGAGACCTACAGGCCCTATAAACACTTGAATAGAGGAGTCAGGCTACGGTCTCTAATCAACTCTATATAAACTTTAAATAATAGGAAATGGTACTTAGGGATGTTTAGCTGTATAAAGCTACAATTACTCCTTCTTGAAGTAGAAAATGCAATTTCAGTAATAATACTAAACAAGACTGAATGCAGTAAACTTAGGTGAGAGGCCATTAAGAAAGACACAGTCAAGTGCTACTTTGCTCACAATGAGAATGCACAGACGGCAGGGCGAGCAAGCCTCAGCCTCCTGGGCTGCACTGTCAGTTTATACCTTCCCATGGTTTTGTTTTCATTAGCTACACACACACTCACACATGTGTACGCATGCATGCACACAAATGCACATGCATGTGTGTGTGCAGGTGTGTGTGTGGTGTGTTTATAGAGCAGAGAGAGAGAGAGCAAGGGAGAGCTCATCAGGCATTAGGAAAAATGATAACCTGTAACAGGCTGGACAGTTCATTATTCAGATCAGCACAAAAAAAATCTTACATGAATTCTGTAGGAAATTGAACCAGCTTTCTTTTCAGTTTTAAAATGATGCTTTGACTAATAAAGAGCCTGTGTTATTCAACATCATTGGATAGGACCCTCTCAAATATATTTATCTTCCTTGACCACACTTATATATAATGCAAATTACAAAATGTTCTCCTGATCTAAACTAGCAACGTGACTGGATTCATTATTCACTTCAAACTAATGAGATTATTTGTTCCACTGATGTTATTAATGGGTTGCATAATATCCATCAGATAAAATACTAATAAAATGTTGAAAGCAAGCAAATGAAGTCATCGTGGGCCTTAGGAAGCAATGACTGAGGCTGCCACCACCGTATGATTTGTAGGCAATCTGGACTTAAATAATGGCTCGGACTTTCCCCCCTGATATTATTATGTGTGTTAGAAATACATTTGTGAAGCTGAAGGAGACTAACTAAATGTACAAACTTGAACTTTGAATGAATATGATGACATTTAAAGCTCTCGAAGGTCACAGTCCTAACACTGAAATCATTTTGCTAGAATCAAAAACAATTTTGAAAGATTTGGAAAAGGAGCCAAGTAATGTCGTTAGTACATATTTGCCCAAGGTAAAGGGTAAAGGGGATGACATAGCCATGTTCTGTATTTTATTAAAACCCTATAATCAATTCTTGCCTTTCCTTATAAGAAGCAGTCAACAATTATTAAAAATGTTCTCACCCACTAGGTGATAATCTGACATTGCTATATGTCTTGCATGATTTTATCACAGAATACTCAACCAAAAAACATCTTTACATATGATAAAAATAAACTTAAATGAGTGGTCTATTAATTTTCTTTTTAGTATATATATGTGCATCTGTATATGTACATAAGCATATGCTGTCACACAATACTATCTTATGATGTAGCATTCATTTTGATTCATATTCTACTCTAATGATGTATCAGTTACAATAACCTAAAGTTACAGAATTTAATTTCACAGGAAAATTAAAAATCAGAAATTAAATCTGGACCTATGGAGATGGCTCAGAAAATAAAACACTTGTTGTACAAAGTTGAATACAGGGGTTCAGATCACCAAGAAGCTACCCTTATAATGCCAGGTGCAGAAGGTGCATCTGTAATCTCAGTTAATATGCCCATGGCAAGAGGCAGGCAGAAACAGGTGGATCCATCCGATCCCATAGGTTATCAAATGGGGAGCACACAGCAGTAGAGAACAAGAGAGACGGTAGACGTACGTTGAGTACCTGAAGATGGACTCTGACTTCCACACGCATGCCATAATGCGCCTCTACTTGTACGCACACATTACAAACAAACACAAACTCAAACACAGCATTTGGAAAAAGAATGTGAACGGGCCTGCCAGATGCTTTGTGTTTGTCAAGATAGTTCCTACTTGCATCCTCTCCTGAGAAGTTTGTGAATGCTATGCTACCCTCTTGCAAACAATGTTAAGGACGTGCTCCACACCACTTCATCTTCTCCTTCAGAATGAAGGGCCCTTTCCCCTGTGATTTTTTTCTGCATCTTATTGCCCTTTATGTAGCTCAGAAGGGCAAAGACAGTTGTCATTGCCCTCTTAGGAAGACACCAAAGGGAATGACACAAGCACCCATGACTTGTGGTGAAGCAAAGGCTCCTGTCAGAATGTTGGCTCCTTTCCGACCTATGAGAAAGGCTGCTCAGATGGAAAAGAAAAATGTTCACAATTTCCCTGTAAGAGTTTTGTCATCTTCATCTGTCGGAAATAACTCCTGGTATAGTAGGGTGAGATGGGAGCCAAAGACAGTGCTAAGTCATGTTTTGTTAGAACACATGGAACAAACAAATGCACATAGAAACATGCACATATTTTTCCAACAGGAAATTAACAAAACATTCACTTTTTCTTCAGAATAGTACTTAAACATATTTAAAACCAGTACAGAACACAGATGAGTTACCCAACCCTTGGGGGTTTGTTTTTATGAGTGCCTTATAATAGATAACTAAAGCAATCATAATTATAAGCAGAAATGAATCCACTCCCCTCCACAGGTAAACATCTTGACTTGTAAGTGTAAATTACTAAGAGCTTCACCTTTCTTTGTTATAGCACTTTACTATTTCAACAGGCTTTCCTGTGAATAGCCAGTGCTACACATGTGGGTTTAGCAAGAACATGGCCATCTCCCTACCTCTGGGCCTCACCTTGTGAAGTCTGTCATCTCCATCATGATCATACACATCTGCTTGGCCAGCACAATGATGTCATTGCCGCTGTCATCCCACTTGGCCACTTCAGCATCCAGCTTGCTTTTTTCTTGGTGGAAAATCTCCACCTGCTCAGCTATTTTTGCTTTCTCCTCCTGTGGTAGTTGCGCCATGATGGCCTGTGTGGGTTACAGGGGGAGAAGCATGACTAATGGTGATGAAGGAATTAAAAACTACATGTTCACTCTGCTCCCATTGGATGGCACACTCAGACTGCCAAGGTTTATATGATGCCTCGTCATTCTAGAAGATGTGTGTCTTCTCTATTGCAGCCAAGACAAGAGGACAGGCTGAACAGGTCCTCCAGCCCCGCCCCCTTATATAAATGATACGGAGAGATCCAAGTGCAGACACACTGACAGTAGCAGAGCTTCCCTGTCTCTTTGATGGCATACACTTGTTCAAAAGAATCTATTCTTAACAATTTTTATATTTGGTCTCAGGAAACTTTTACCAGATGAAAGAATGTACCTCTTTCAATGCTGAAAGCTATTCAGAGAGGAAAGGGAAAAAATCCTTCTGTTGCTGGGAAGAAGAGGAATTTTAAACAATATTTGAGCATCCAACTAGTGTGCCGTGAAAAGACTTTCTTTGAGTAAAAATGAAAGTATCAATAGGAAACTGACACAAATAAGATATCTATTCCCTTATTAGGAAATTTAGTGGATGGTGTCCTTTATTCCTTCTTACCCCATCTTCCTGGATGATCATGGCTCTTTGGAGAGCCTTTGAATATATGATGGCATTGAAATGGAAGTCCAGATTTCTATCCCCTTTCTAAGATGCCTACACAGAAAACATTTAGACTAGGGAGAATGTCCCTAATGGAAAACTCCAAGATACTGAGGAAATATAAAAAATATTTATATTTAACATAATACATAGTGTTTCAAGTGTCAGAGCATTTGGGCTCTCAGATTTTCAGGGATTGGGGCTGCTGAGGCTGAATGAGATTAGAAAGCAAAGGTTGAATTGCAGAAGTTGCTGGGTAAGGGAATGTAGGGTAAAAAAAAGAGGAGTCTGCTTGCTTTTCACACTCTTCATTTGCAAATTTGCTGATTCTTCTAAATATATTTGTAAACCCCAAATCAATACTTGAAACACTTCTCCAGTCACTTGCAAATGATGTGAGAAGCAGAAAACTCTGAGTCACCAATGTGTGCATTCCCAGATGATGCTGAACAAAGTCATCCTCTGACTTCAATCATCTCTCTAACTGTAAACAAGGGTCCATTTGTCAGTCTACTTGCGCTACACTTTTCATATCAATGTGCTGCTCTCAGTGGTGACACCACCATGCAGAGTAGTTCCTAAGCATGGTGCTGAGTATCCCTAAAGAAAAAAAGCTATTATTTTTCTCTTTGAAGAAAATACAAGAGCTAGATAGCTGTGTTGAGTCATGCATTAGTGTTGTTTGCCATATGTTCAATGTCACTGATATTTGTACAGAAACAGCCTTGATACATGGGAATGTATTAATCAGATAAATAAAACATACTGTGGTTTACATCTCTCAGCTATCTATCCTGAATTTCTTCTACAAGCAAGGATCAGGTAATTGATCATTTAAATATTCATGAGTGATTTACAGGCTATAACTACCAAGGTTTATATGATGCCCAATCATACTAGAAGTTAGAATCAAACTTGTTGATTAAACACTATTTTTATACTATGTTCCAAGTGAAATGTTTGCCCATGGCCACCTGCAAAAGATTTGACAGACACGGTCTTTGGATAGTTCTTCAGCTTCTCCTATAGTTCTGTTATCCATGAGATCTCAAAAGAGACAAAGGCTGTGTAAGCAGGGAATCTAATGTTTGTTAAGTGAATAAATGAAGGTATTCGAAATGTGTGTTTGTTTAGTAGTCCACAAGAAGAAGCAAAAGGAAGTTGCCCCTGTTAGCTCCATCTGCCCAATTGATACAGCCTAGAGTCTCAATTGAACAATTCCCTGAATTAGATTGGTCAGAATTTATAATTTGGAGAATGAGAATTCAAACCAAGGCAGTGAGCCAAAAAACGTTTTTCACTACTGTGTACAACAACATTACCTTATAGCCATACACAAATTGTATAAAGACCTCAGCCCAGTGGAGAAAAGGCAGTTGAAGTTCAGTTCTGCCTACCAAGTCATATACCCTTATGATAGAGTTTCATGGGCCAGAGAAATGTTAGCTTGGACTCATAGGAACCTGGATGATGTACCTTCTAACAGAGTCATGCCTACTAAACTTCCATAAAATTTTAGAGAGTAAGGGTTTACTTATGTAGACTTTTATGCATGTTCACATGAACCTCATATAGTATGGGTCTGTATGTTTGCATAAAGTAGAAACAAGACTGATAGAAATATGCTAGTTAAAATATTTAACATGCTATGTTTGGAAATATTTGAAAGTATGATGTGGGAGTGTCATATATCAATCTGTTGATTTCATTGGTTAATTAAATGAAGAAACTGCTTGCCCTGATAGGTTAAAACATAGGTGGGAGGAGTAAACAGGAGGAAGAGGAAGTGAGGTAAGACTCCTCAAAGACGTGGGATAGCTCTGCTCTCAGAGACACATGCGATGAAGCTCCGACTCAGGATGGACGTAGGCTAGAATCTTCCCAGTAAGCACACCTTGGGGTGCTTACACACATTATTAGAAATGGGCTAGTCCAGGTGAGAGAGTTAGCCTAGAAAAGGCTAGATATAATGGGCAAGCAGTGTTTAAAAGAATATAATTTGTGTGTTGTTATTTCGGGCATAAGCTAGCAGGCGGCCAGGGTGCTGGGGACGCAGCCCCGCCGCTCCTATTTCTACAAAAGTATTTCCATAAACTTTACAAAGATTCATAATATACAAAGAGCCTTCATAAACTTTATTTTTAGTTCCATGTTAAAAAGAAGGCCTAAAATTTCTCACTTGGCTTCAACTAACAGATATTAAATATGCATTTTTAATCTGAAGTACTCCTATCTTCTTGATTCACACAGCTTCTTCACACAAAAGAGATATTCATGTTTTATTTAGGCAGCACTAATCCTATGGGACCATTATTAAGTTTGTTCACTGACTGCCTCTCTCTATTAAAAATACAAAAAAACAAAAAGCAAAAAAAAAAAACAAAACAAAAAAGTAGGACCACTAGCAGACAGCAGACTGTTCATTCAGGACCCACATGGGAAATAATATACATATACTTTCATTCACATAAAAGTGAATGTTTGCATTGGAGGGTGGGCACTTTCTTGTCAGCTATAGCATTTGGATCTTCTTTGCTTAAATTACCATTTAAATGTCAATAACCTTGATTTTCTTTCTAATTTTTGTTTGCTTGTTTTTTTCTTTTTAAGACAAGATCTCACTATATATGCCTGGTTAGCCTGAAACTCACTATGAAGACTAGATTGTACTTGAATTCACAAAGATCACAGCTTCTGTCTCCCCAGTACCAGGACTGAAAGTAGGTGCACCATACCTACACTCTCTAATTTTTGTAAACATGTTATTTTATTTTACTTTTAATTGTGTGTGTGTGTGTGTGTGTGTCCCTCTGAATCTAGAGTTACAGTAGCTTATAGGCATCCAGCATGAGTGTGGGCAACTGAACTCAAGTCCTCTGGAAGAGTAGCAAGTCTTTTTTTTTCTTTTGATTTTTTTATTTATTTATTAAAGATTTCTGTCTCTTCCCCACCGCCGCCTCCCCTTTCCCTCCCCCTGCCCCAATAACCAAGTCCCCCTCCCTCATCAGCCCAAAGAGCAATCAGGGTTCTCTGCCCTGTGGGAAGCCCAAGGACCACCCACCTCCATCCAGGTCTAGTAAGGTGAGCATCCAAACTGCCTAGGCTCCCACAAAGCCAATACGTGCAGTAGGATCAAAAACCCATTGCCATTGTTCTTGAGGCCTCAGTAGTCCTCATTGTCTTCTATGTTCAGCGAGACCAGTTTTAACCCAGGCTTTTTCAGACCCAGGCCAGCTGGCCTTGGTGAGTTCCCGATAGAACATCCCCATTTTCTCAGTGTGTGGGTGCTATTGATTAGCCATCTCTCCAACCCTCCAGCCCCTTGTTCTTTAATTTGCATTACTGTCCTACTTCTGATTCCTAGAAATGCTTCCCTTGACTTCCAGCTCGGAACAGAATCTCAGTGGCCTCTGACAGATGGTTTAAGCATCTTCCTGCCCAAGGCATCAATGCCACTCAAGAGAGGTCGTCAGAAATGACAGGCATTTTCTGATGACACCTTTCAGAGGAATGACTGGCCCCTTCAAAGCAGATTTGCAAGGGAAGGGATGCTATTTTAACTGCAGGGATGCTCGATCCGCAGAATGCACTTAATGGGGTGAGACTGGAGTTCAAGTGTCATTACATTTGCCTCTGCTGCCCTGTGGAAGTCGATGAGCTCAAGGCTTTTCTTGAATATTCTTAAAATGCTCTTGGCTTTTAAAAATTCATTATTGACCTTTTCTGAAACTGGAATTTAAAAAAAGGTTATCTATAAACAGTAGATCACAACTGCAAAATTTGCAAGTTAATCAAATTAAAATGCAACACATGAGTTTTAATTAGGTCTTATCAATGTAACTCAGCAGTTTGAAATGTTAACACATTAAAGTCATTATAAGTAGAAAAGAAATAGAAGGCTGGCTACATTAAAATCAAATTCAATGTGACATATATAACATATAATTGTTCATTCCTTCAATCTAAGGCAACATGAGAAAAATTATTTGCATGGCCAGGGGAAAGGAGACAAATCTGTTTCCTGTCCCGGTGATGAGATCTCTAGTTTCTGTAGCCTGGATCCATACATGGCATATACAGTTCCCCTGGCTCTACCCAGGCTGATTTGGTTCCAAACTGGGAACATCAAAGATCAAAAGCCACAAGAACTCAAGCCTTTGTCCTAGGTTCCCTGCCTTTTCTCTGGACAGCCAATCATTCACTTTTTATGATTAATAAATTCTTCCTATTGAGATCAAAGTGCATGTCACTGATACAAATAGCAGCCATTCAAAGGGATTAAAACTCTTCTTCAATATAAATCTCCAGGTACGTGTCCCAGGGTCCACCTTTGAAATGCAAGGGTCCTCAAACTGGCAAGAATCATTTTCCGGGACAAAAAGCAGAATTTATTACAAGGGATTTAAGGGCAAGAAAATTTATAAAAGGGGTGAAAACTCAAGGGGATATTTCTCCACAATTGACAGTTGGGTACTTTGACCTCCAGTCTTACTCTTTGGATTGGAAAACAGATATTCCTCCCACTGAGGTCTGTAGGCATGTCATATTGTATCTATCCATTGAGATGTCAGTGCCCAGGATCAAAGTGGGCAGCACCATAACCCTGTTTTTGGAACCTGGACTGTAGAGAAGATGGAAAGTTGGTTGTCATTAAACATGCATATACTCTCTGCTCTTGCCTGTGGATGTGACTAATTGTTTCAGTTTCCTTAACTATCACACAAAGATTGGACTATATAGAATACTGAGCTAAAAGAAACCTTTCCTTCCTCTAAGTTGTTTTCTGTCAGGTGTCTTTATAGCGATATTTTATTTATGTTTTAATAAATATAGCTTTCCTAGAGATCTCAAAGGCAAAGATAAGTCACTAGAGGTCAGGCAATGGTGACACACACCTTTAATCTCAGGATTTAGGAGATAGAGGCAGATGGATCTCTGGGAGTTCAAGGCAACCCTGGACTACACACGATCAATGTAGAAAAGAATCCAGGTAGTGGGAGGTCACACATTTAATCCTAAAAATAGGGCGTCACACACCTTTAATCCCATCATTAGAGGGAAAACAAAATGGAAGGAGAGAGAGGCTCTGATTGCCTAGTCTGTTTAGTCAGCCTAGTCTGCTTAGCCTTCTTAGACTTAGACTGCTCATTCTGCTTAGTCTGTGGTTGCCCAGCCTTGGTTGAGGTAAGACTTTTCTAGTGGCTTGGCTGCTTTGCTTTTTTTGGTTTTCAGATTGAACCCCAATATCTGTCTCTGGGTTTTTATTATTCATCGTACATATTTTCCTGCAGCATCAGAGGGGGAACTAGGACATAAACTGACATGAGGAATGGAGTTCACACCTGTACAGGCACTAGCACATTGGAAATTAGGCATGCAAAAGAGAGTTAGCAAAGTTACCTGAGTATTCAGCACTCATATTTAACAGTCAGTTCTGCACACCCTCAAAGGAATAAATTCTATCACTAAGGTTAAAAGCCAGAGAATTGCTGTTGACCTACTTACACTATGGCAAAATGTGAAGAAACAGATTTAAGATGTCATGTTAAGGGCTGAAGTGATGAGTTATCTCTTCTGGAGGCTCTGGGTTCAATTTCCGGCACCCATATGGCCACACACAACTATCTGTAACTAAATTCCACAGATAACCTTCCCTGACTTCCACAGGAATCAGTTATGCTCATGGTGCACAGACATGTAAAAAGTCAAAACATGCATATGCCTAAAATAGTTTTGTAAAAGTGTAAGGTGCTATGTCTAAGACTATACTGTAAGATAACCTCTATGTATGAGTAGATTGTCATATCCAATCCCATTCTTCCTTCTACTTCCCTTCAAAGTGTTACAGACAAAATCCTGGGAGACTGTACAGGGGTTAAGAATACTCATGGCACAAACACGAGAACCTGAATCCATGTATATCAAACCAATATAAAATGTCAGACATGACCACATAATACCCCAATCCTCAGTACCTGGGCAGAAACAGGGGATGGAAATTGAAGGTTGGAAAGAGATGGGGGAAACACAGAAACCTCTTTTCCGTAACAGAGACGGTGTCAAGAGAATAAGGTGGAGACGGATAGAACACAATGGGTGATGTCCTCCTCTGATATACACACTGAGTATATGTGCCAGTCCACATATGCACATACAACAATACCTACTCATAGCCATGTAAACACTGAACAAAAGCATCATAAAATGCCATATAAAAGAAATAAAATCCTCTCTCTGACATTTGAGAGGAATGTTGGAAGAAGGTGCTAAAAGTTAATTTTCCGGTTTAACATTCTTTTCCTTGCCCTTTTCAGAGAGGAATATTTTCCTGAATAAAAATAAAAATAAGGCCATTATCAGTAAAGACTGTCTACTTGGAAGACCTAACTCATGTGTCAAACACAAAGTTGACTTCCTTCACAGTTCTTAGCAGCTTGTCAAACACTGGTGGTCCAAAGTTCAACCATCTCTTACCTTAGCTATTTGATAATGCCCTCTTATTCTAACTTAGTAGTCATAATTCTATATCCCTGATTGGGGCTAACATTAGAATTTGAATTGTGGGCTGCATGTTAATCCATAACATGGGATAGACCTCCAAGACAAATTAGCAAGTAGCAAATAAGACAACCTGGTCCTTAACTCTCGTAGACCCTGATCATATTTCACTCTGAAAATAAACACCAGAGTGAAAATATAATGATCAAGAGGAACCATTTAAAATTTGTTTTTATCCATTATCACTGACTTGACACACAACATAAAAATAGTGTGGGAAAGAGAAAAATATGTGAACCCTAATCTCATTAAATGTAGACTATTCAGGCCATCTTTACAAGATGGCAATCGCAAAGCAAGATAAAGCTTGTATAATATATCTTATTCTTTGGGAACACAAATCAGTGTAACCAGGGCTAGAGTCAGTCAATAAAATTAACTCAGAATTGATTAATGTTTGGATGAATTACTCAAACTTGTCCTTTGTCATTGACATGAAAAAGCTGGTTTTACTTAATTTTAAAGATGAATTGGCTTGATTAATTAGTTTGGTGGTATGCCAACAGACAAAAGATTCTGGCTTAATGACCTTCCCAAGTGTTCATGTTTTAGGCAAGATTGAAGAATCTTTAGGGAGTTTTCAATGGAGATTCTATGCTCTTTCAAACTCTTTGATGTCACTGTACTGTGTTCAAAAGAGACCTTTTTTTCCAAAGAATAATGATCAGAGTTGGACTTTTATTGAGCATTTACTATAAGGCAAATGTTGTACTATTATTCTATAAAGATCAAGTCATCATCAAAAGAATGTTGCCAAGGAAGCCTATGGGTAACATCTGACAAAAATATGTCTGAATGTCAGAGAATTCAAGCAACACATATCTCTCAGAGTGCTACTAGCATTTGCTTTTATAGATCAAAACCAAAGTTTGTGAAATCAGAGATACTATACTTTCTGTTCCCCTCATCAGTTAAGGCCTTGTGCATGCTAGGCAAGCATTCTACTAGTGAACAACACCCTCAGTACCTGGCTATAGGCATAAAGTCTTTACTATTTGGCCAGGGTTACTCTTGAACTCACAATTCTTTTCTCTTCTTCTCAAAAATAAATCTGTGTGCTACTGTACCATATTCCATGTGCCTGTAGTATCTGAATTTTTACCCCTGTGTCTCTATCAATTTGCATCTGTATTTTTTTTCATTCATTTGCCTCTAGAACAAAGATACCAAGGTCTATAGTACAAAAGGTAAAGTGGGTTTTAGGTATAGTCATTTGGAACACATTTTCTTTTTATTTTAGTTCTTTTTATTTTACTCTCTTAATTTTTTTGTTTTTTACTTTTCTTTCACAATTCCCATTGTTGGCCCAGCTGTGGGGTGTGCATTATACTACTTGTGTTGTGATCCAGGCCATCAAGTATTCATCTGTTTAACAAATATGTTATATTTTATTGCTTAATTCATCCCTAAAACTCAAAACTCATAAACATTGTGTAACTTCTTTCTATCATTTAAGAAAAGACTTGGCCCTGGAAACAGATAAGCATTAGGGAAAAACAAAGATTTCTCTTTACCCAATACCCATGAATCAACATGATCTTTCCTATCAACTCTACCCAAAACTAAGTAGCAATTATCAAGCCAGTAACAAAGGAGTACTTTAATTTTACATTTACTGTTACCTCTTGTGCTATTTCTGAACATGGAGATTTTACTCAGAATTATGGCAGATGCAATTCAAAATTTAAGCAATAGATGGCCCTTGTCTATCAAATTATTACCCTCAAGCCAAATACAATCCCCTATACATGTTAGAATATGTAGTACTTAGATGCAGCTGCTACATCTAGTGGATAGAGGATGGGGAGGGTTAAAAGAAAATGGGAATAGTGGTGGTTGCTACCATCATGAACAATGTGCATTGCTGTAGGCTACCCAAGGAATACCCCAAACTATTGAACCAAAGATTTCTGGTTTCCCAGCACCTAAAGTTCAGAAATTTTCTTGAGCGATTTGTGTGAGTTTCTCCCCCGGGCAGTTATCCAAAGTGGTTAATGTCCACGCACCCGTGCACTCTGCCCAGCAATGAGCTGGTCATCCTCAGTCTGAACACTTGTCCGGCTACGCACATCATAATCTTCTTGCTCAAAGTCAGAATCATCTTCTAGCTCCTCTGGAGTCTAAATAACAACATACAAAAAGAGACAGAGAATTAGTTCACCCTTACCCACACATTTCATTTCAAAGTCTAAAAGTCCCAAAGAAAGAGTTTCTAACATCTTACATGTAGTATGACTACCTGTATTGGTATCATCTTCAAAATTATGGGAGCCCCTCAAATGATAAACGGGTAAAGAAAATGGTATGCATTTACACAATGGAGTTTTACTTAGCTGTTCAAAAAAATAACATCATGAAATTCAAAAGCAATTAGAAAGGAACTAGAAAAAATCATCCTGAGTGATGTAATATAGATCCAGAAGCATTAATGCGGCATGTACTCACTTGTAAGTGGGTATTAGCTGTAAAGTAATGGATAACTATGCTACAATTCACAGACCCAGAGAGGCTAGGTGACAAGGACCATCCAAGGAGGACACTCAGGTTTCCCTGGGAAGGGGGAATAGAAAAGATTTTGTGGGTACACTAGAGGTTGATGGGGATGGGACATGAAGAACCAAGTCAGAGAGAGAACTAGAAGAGATGACTGGAAAGGGGGAGAATTTGGGGGCCATGGAGAAATCTACTGCAAGAGAAACTCCCAGCAACCTACAAAGATGACCCCAGTTAAGACACCTAGCAATTGAAGATATATAGATATAGATATAGATATAGATATAGATATAGATATAGATATAGATATAGATATAGATCTATATATATATATCTTCTAATTCAACTTCTAATTCAAACAAGAGTATACTTGTGTAAAATCCATGTATATTTATATATATATATAGCCTGAATTGGTCAATTCTTGTGATCAGGCAAGACTTAAAGTGGAGGGATTGGGAAACCAATCTAGCCACAACCTTCAGCCTACAGTCTGTTCTGACTATGAGATGTGCTAGGTAATGGTGGCACAGAGATTGGGCAAGTGGCCAACCAATAACTGGTCTAGCGTGAGACCCATGCCATGAGAATGAACCCTCTCTTGTCACTTCCTGGAGCACCAGGACCCAGAGGCTAGATA